ATACATATACCTACTACATGCACACTGTTTTATTTCCTACAGATACAATACGGAAGGTGACAGCTTGAAAATTACAAAATGAACGGTAATGAACAAAACAGGGGTATTCCCAGTCCTGTGATCACACCATGCTCACCCTACAGCTTTCTGCGAACAGTTTTCCTAGGGCTCTCCCAAGCGCCCGAGCATTACCTGCAGATGAAATGGGGACACCCGCACGCCGTACACCTGGCACCCTGCATCTTCAGACGAGGCTGGCACCGCGCTGACCAGGAACTGAATGGTCTCACCCGCCACGTGACAGAACACCACCTGGAGGAGATTACAGAGGGAACTTCATGTGAGTGAGAGGAGAGCTGGTACCACACACGTCTTCATCTCACTGAACAAAATAACCTGCACTTCATACATCAGCCAGGACAGGAATTTAGAGTTTCAAACTTGGATCAACATCCGGGTTCCCATCTTTCCTATTATGCAGTAGTCTGAAAGCTGGAAACAATATTTCAAATCTTTTCTTCCAGATGGATTTCTTGTCCAAATCTACTTAAAGTCTTTCTCACACATAATGATTTTTTTCTTTAAATATTTCTTTGCTTTATTTCTCCACACAGTTGATTTTAAATTCCCCAGACATTTCATATTCATATGGAGTGAAAGTGATTAGCCATCCTCTCTCCCTAAAATAAAATGAGACTTCAAAAGAAAATAAGTTACAGCTGTTACAAGTGGAAAATAAAAAATGTACCTAGAACACAAGAAATTGTTTCTATCTAAATAATTTTTAACCTGTCTCGGTTTTTCAAAGATGGGGATAATTCAAAGGACATATGAAATACTAAACACTCACAAAATAATGCAGCCTCCACAAAAGCAGACTGTAAAAGGAGCTCATTTAACGGCCTAGGAGACGGGGCAGGGATAGGTAACTAGGTATGTATGTATTTACTTACAGAGGAGGCACTGGGGATTGAACCCAGGACCTCATGCATCCTAAGCACGCGCTCTACCACTGAGCTCTACCCTCCCCGCAGCAAAGCATTTTAGAGGGACGATTGTGACAGCTGTAACCGCACGGCGAGTCCCTCTATAGGAGCAGACCTTACAGAATGAGGGGTCGGCCACCCTCCTGGCAGGACGCCAAGCAAGCCCAGTGTGGGATGACTTCCAGGCCAGGTGCCAGGCTGGGAGGAAGGGTCAGGGGGACGGGGGAGGGGGCCCGGCAGGTGGCCAGGGTGTCTGGCCAAAGCTGAGTCATCAGGAGGCTGAGAGTAAGGCAGGACAGACCCCGCATTCCCGAGCACTGGACGGTGTCACTTGGGAAGGAAGGAAGGAAGGAAGGAAAAAATTCTTTAATTCCTTAGTGGATTTATCAGAATCTAAACAGGCAGGGAGAAAGATGATCAAAATAGTCACTTCGTCAGGGTAACAGCTATTTCACCAAGTTCCGGCTGGAACGCGTTCGCCCCCCCCCGCCCCTTGTGGTCCCTGCCTAACCCGTCCCACCCCACCTGCACCGGGGCCCGCATCTCTCCACTCGGGCCCACCTGTCCCTCCAACAGAAACCTGACTGCACCACACCAGGCCCCCAGCGAGGGGTCCATCTCCAACGTCCACCATAAAAGACCTCGACAGCAGAGTTAGAGAGAAAATCTTGCCTTCTCTTGATACCAGCAAAAAAATTGCACAGCCCGTACGTTCTTTAAGGTCGCTCTCGCAGGACTGGTTTATGTGGATTAGCTACGAATCTTCATCGTGGTGCTGCATCTCCAGAGGGCATCAGAGGTTGGAACAGAAAAATGTTTGTCTAAGAAATGTCGTCTATTCATTTTAAAAATAAATGCTCTATAAACAGTCCTTTTTGGAGGAATGTACTTTAATGCCAGATGAGTTACACACACCAATGACATGACACAGAGAAAATTCTCTGTCCTTTGTCTCAACAGGCCGGGCCATTTTACTGCTTAAAGTCAAAAACCAGGCAGCGACTGGTTAAAAGCCAATAAATACAAAAACAAGCAGATTTTAAAAGACTTTAAAACTACCGGAATGTGGAGGGGCGGGTGTAGCTCGGTGGTAGAGCGCATGTTTACCTTGGTCCTGGGTTCAATCCCCAGTACCTCCATTACGATGAAACATAATCCTACCCACACCTCCCCCGCAATACAACAACAAAAACAAACAAAAAGCAATAAAATTTCTGGAGCGCAAGCCTCCAGAAGTCACAATTACCATTCACATCACGCTGGGAAAGGAAGCGCACTCACTGGAAATGGGACACCTAAAGGTCCAAATGTCCTTTCACGGAGACCCCGAGGGTCTCCCCCGGCCCCCACGGCTTCCCGGCCCTCTAAGCAACGTCTGTCATCCAGACCACCCGCTCCTCCAGTGTTCAGCTGGAGCTGCCAACTGAAACAGCGATCCGAGCCCACTGCTGCCACTCCTCCTGCGAGTCCAGCCAGAGAGACAGCGATCAGGGCCCGAACCTCCCCAGGGCCAGCCTCGGCCCTGCCACCCCGAGAGTGATAACGTCCCATTTGTCACGTGGACGGGAACAAAATGGAAAGGAGGTTTAAAAAATAATCTCTTTGAGCGCATTAAGGTGTTATCCACAGTGGGGGTCAAATCCCCTCAACCCAGGCAAACAGTGGCAAGGACCTTGCCGTCCCCAGGGGTCCCCTCTCGGAACCGCAGAAGGCAGGGCCACCCTTCCAGCTACGGCCACAATGTCCAGGGTTGACTTCTATCCAAATACGGACCAATAGGTAGAGACCCTGACCTGGACCCTAGAGGGTTCCCACCCCAAACACAGCCGTGCTTACAAGGACCCCTCCTGAAGTCCACGAGTTACCTCCGCAGAGCCACCCGGTGACGTGGAGCTGTTTGACGCGGCTGCTAACCCTTTGGTGCGGAGCTTCCCACGGAAGCCATCTGATGCAGGTACTGGATTTTTAAAGTTAAACTGAAATGATATCTGGCTTCTGCAGTGGGACCAAGGGCTTCTCTGAGAACAGAAGTGCCGTGGGCCCCAGAGCAGGACTCCACCAAGTCAAGCTCTGGGAGCAAAGAAGTGAGCTCCCTCGAACCTGAGACAGGAGGGGAGGGGGCAGGCACAGCCATCAGGCGTCTGACACAGCAGTGAGCACCAGGGCGGCGGGAGACTCGGCTCCCAGTGAGCCCTGAGCTTCCTCATAGGCTCCTGGTAAGTGACACTCCCACAGGCGCCAGGGCGGCCTTCAGGCCGACCATACAAGCTCAAGGGGTGTGGCGGGCCAGCTCCTGCGAATCGCAGCCCCTTCCCCAAAGCAGCTGGAACAATCCTCCCACTTGTTAGCACCTGAAGTTACCGAGGCTGTAAAAACCAGCGGCCCCGCCCCTCGTGGCCTTTCACTTGCCTTTGAGACACCGCACTCCTCTGTGGAGTGTGCACCCCTCTGAATAAATCTACTTTTACTCAACTACGACCTGCTCTTGAATTCTTTCCTGCATGAAGCCCAGGAGCCTTACTTGGTGGGGCACACTGCAGGGGCTCACCTGGGACCTGGGACATGGCTGTCCTCTCACACCCCATTTTCCTGTATCAAATCCACCTGCTTTATTCTCGAGACTTTTTTTTTCCCCAGAGCAAGCAAAGAAACCGTCGATGACACAAACCACCTCAAAATCATGCAACAGTGCACTCAGATAGACCCCCCTTCCTCTCTGCGCAGGAGCGCCTGTCGGGGGTGGGCTCCACGTGGCGAGGGTCCCAGAGGTGGGCCTGGGCTGACAGGTGGGGGGTCAGGGTCGCTGGTCCACCCCCAGTGATCAAGACAGGAGGCAGAATCATCCGGGTGTAGAGGGCACCTTTTGTTCTAACCTGCACAGAGGGAGACCTGAGGCCTTCAGTCAAGGTGTTTTTTGTTTTTTTTTCAATTTATCTGTTTCATATGTATGATTTGTCATCAATTTATTTTTGATTTCAGAAATCTTTTGCAGGGTGAAGTAACTAGGTTTATTTACTTATTTATTTTAAGGAGGGACTGGGGATTGAACTCAGGACCTCATGCATGCTGAGCATGTGCCCTGCCACTGAGCTCTACCCTCCGCCTCCGTCAACAACTCTCCAGTTTCAAGACCTTAAACTCAAGTAGTCACACACCTATGCAAATAGGTCTTTTCTTGACTCTGTCTTCCTTTGTTTGCCCAAAGAACCCTAGGCCTAGGGGCTCACCAGTTTTGCTGCCAACAAGAAAGTCCTCTGATCTTCAAGTCTCCCTGTGCTTTCCCACTTGCCTTTTCAGTTCCGTTTCTTGTGCAGTGGCCTCGGCTCCTCCCTCTCTGAGAACACTCTAGAGAACTAGAAATCATTTAATTACTTTTGTCTCTAAAAGAACGAGGAACACAGCTGAGAAAATGCATCTAAAAGGTTTGCATCACTGCGTATTTTGCACTTTAATCACACCACATTACATCATGAGGAGAGAACTCCCAAATAAAATGGATGCAAAGGCCCTCTACGAGTGTCTGATCACATTTCTTCCCCAACTCTGCAGCCTCGTCTCCACCCTGCAGATATCAAGACGGCACGAGTCTGATCTAAAACATCACTTCTACTCCAGAGAACCCGGGCAGAGCTAGATGTTCTCAGAGCGTCTGTAAAGTTCACCCTACTTGCCTGCTCATTTCCAATACATGGCTGAAGATGCATTTTTATACAAAATTCTCCCAGTGGACTGGGGTGAAAAATGCTGGGAACAAGGTGGTGGCCAACCAGCCCCTAGGAATGCTGGGTAGACACTCTAAGCATCACCCTCAAGGGGTGTGCCTGGGACCGCACAGACTCCGACACCCCACCCCCAGCAACGCTCCCCATCCCTTCTCTTGTTGGGACCCCTTAAAATGCACAATGGGGGAGGCAGGCAGAGTTCCGTGGTAGAGTGTATGTTCAGCACACACGAGGTCCTGAGCTCAATCCCCAGTCCCTCCGTGGAAATAAATAAGTAAATAAATAAACTTAATTACCTCCCCCCCTCAAAACAAACAAGATCAATAAATAAATAAAACAAAATATTTAAAAAATGAACGAGGCTTCCTAGTAACAGGACACTGCAGTAATAGGAGGTACTGTTACTGCACAGTGTGGTTTAGTGGAGGCAGTCCTCAGCTTAAACACCTGCTCTCTTGCATGGACTCTATGCGCTGAAAAATGTACACGAGACACTTCCTTTAAAATGATGGGCAGGAGTGAACCAGGGCTCTTCCGGGCTGGCTGTTAGCGCCCCAGGTCAGGGCCAGGTCACTCTGTCACACCCACACCTGGTGCTGCTGCCCTGTGTTCCAACACACACACAAAACCTCACTTGCCCGAGGGGCCTCTCCTCCCCTCCTCTCCAGGCCAAGCACCTGAGGGCTGACTCAGCGCAGAGTTCCATAGGCTGTCATCCAAACAAACAGGTGGCCTGCCAGGAGGCCCCGCTCCCACTCAGGTCTCAAAGGGCGGGGCCTCCCATCTCACCCCTGCCCTTGGAAAGACTGCTTCAAAACAATTGCACAACTTGTTAGCATTTTAGCCGTCAATACCCAGAGAATGTGGCACTTGGAATTTCAAGTCGTGAAAAGCCAGAAAAAAAAAAGTCAACAAAATTTCCTATTTGCCACCACAGGGAGAAATGTGGACAGCTTTGCATCACTCACCTTGCAAACCAACGCGCCCACCAAGGTCTGGAAAGAGCCCAGGAGACCCTGGCACCTCTCAGGATTTATTTTAGTGTATAAATGTGTAACAGAGAGCCTTAAGTACAAACAAACAAACAAAACCAAAATCCACGTGCTCACAAGGTTCAGTTCATACCGGATGAGAGCTGTGGGGTTCCCCGACAGACAACGTGGAGTAAGATTCTGGGGGAAATTCCATGCAGTTGCCCAAGGTCTGTTGGTTGCTATGGTTTTACAGAAGCAAAGCTTGGCCAGTGCCCTTTCGTTCCTTTTTCCCCATCTTCATTATCTCTTCCGAGGTTGGGGTGGGTGGGGTGGGAGCTTAAGTGA